GAGAAGGAGAAAGAGAGGAGAAGGGATGGAGAAAGAGTAGAAGAAAGAAGGAAGGAAGGAAAAAAGGGGAAAGGGAAAGGGAAAGGGGAGAAGGAGAACGGGATAGAGGAGAGAGGAGGAGGAGGAGGAGGAAAAAGAGAGGCAGAAGGGATGGAGGAGAAGGGGAAGAGGGAAGGGAAGGGAAAAGGAAGGAGAAGGAGAGTGGAGGATGGAGGGATGAGGAGGAAGAAGGAGGCAGAGCCAATGCAGGAAGCCCAGGCCACAGCTGCCAGGCCACAGGAGTGTGAAGCCAAGAGAGAGACACACCTGCCGCTTGCCAGAATGATTGATCTCCTATTGACATCCAGTCCACCTGTAGAGAAACCTCTCCAATTTGGCTCAGAACTGAGCCAGCCAGTTGGCCTGCCCCTTCCAGAGGGCTCCCTTCCTCCTCCCTCCCCCCCCACGTGGCACTGGGCCACCCGGGCACCGGTGGGGCTCCAGCCTGCCTCTCTGCAGCTGTTGCCTCCTGTCTGGCTGGAGCCCAGCCAAGGCCCACGGCTCTTAGCCGCCCTGGAGGGGAACATCTGGCCCACAGCACAGATGTCGGGGGGGGGGGAGGCTGGAGGGAAGAAAAAGTTTCCCACTGCTGGGATCCCTTTGATCCTGGCCTCTCAGCTGCCCCCTCGGACTTGGTCCCTCCTGGATGACCCTCCCAGTTCTAGGTCAGCGGGTTGCAGGGGAAAAAAGATCTAGCAGAACCACAGCAGTGCTACAAACTACTCGCGCACACACCCACCCACACACCCACACACACCGCCAGCCCGTGCAATTCGGATGGAGACGCTTACCCGGCAGGTTCTCACAGTGCCAGGGGCGGTGGGGGAAGCCATGGGGGGAGATCTCCGCTGTCTGCCAGGAGCCCTGCAAAAAAATAATCCATCATAGTCACAAATGTGTAATGGTTAAGACATAATGCTACAAAAAATGGGAGACAGGGAGTTCTAGTCCCGCCTTACTCAGGAAAGCCAACTGGGTGACTTTGGGCCAATCACCAGACGGTGAGTTCTAGTCCCACTTGAAGCATGAAAGCCAGCTGAGTGATTCTGAGTCAATCACCAGGAGACGGGGAGTCTTAGTCCTGCCTTAGGCATGAAAGCCAACTGGGTGACTTTGAGTCAATCACCAGGAGATGGTGAGTTCTAGTCCCGCCTTGGGCATGAAAGCCAACTGGGTGACTTTGGGCCAATCACTAGGAGACCGTGAGTTCTAGTCCCACTTGAAGCATGAAAGCCAGCTGAGTGATTCTGGGTCAATCACTGGGAGACGGTGAGTTCTAGTCCCAGCTTAGGCACAAAAACTGGCTGGGTGACCTTGGGCCACAGCCCAGCCCACCTCAAAGGGTTATTGTTATGGGGAAAATAGGAAGAGGAAGAAGGATGAGATATATTTGTGTAGATAGATAGACAGACAGACAGACAGACAGACAGACAGACTAACAAACATGGAGAGGTGTATAGCGAGGAAAGGGCAATGCCAGTCCTATCCATGGCAATATCCATAACGCTCCAAGCCACTCTTGATGCCCAGCCTTCTCACAACTTAACTTGCAAGAGGTCTTTGAAACCCTTAGCCCCCCTCCCTCCCTCCCCCAAATAACTGTCTTGTCCCTGTTTTTTGAACGTCTGCTGGTTGGCCGCTATTTCTCACCTCCCTGGATTACTTCCCCGGCTGAAAAATCAATTTCCAAAATGACCTTTAAAAACATGGGTGTTTTGTTAACGCAAAAATTCCACCCGGGTTCACAGCTTAGAGGGCCCCCCTCAGACAGACTGGCTAAGCCACTGTCCGAAGAATAATACGGGGTTGCAACTGAAGTTGAAGAAATCAAAATGAAATCCAGACAGTTGCGAGGAAAGGATAATTATTTATTCCGAAAAGCAAGGTGATTCGCCCACGGGGGTAGTAGCTACAGGGTAAAAGGAGCACAAAAGGGCTGCTTTATAGGGGCTCTCGTCCCTGGTGTGGGGTCTCAAAGGGCGTGGGTATGTGTACGTGCTGGTTCTAGGGTGACATGTGAGGGTTGTGCGTATGTGTATGTGTTGACCTGGAGAAGGGCTTAATTAAATCAAGTGATGTGTATGGGGTCTCTTCGTTTGAACTGTGAGCATTATAATTATGTTTACATTGTGTTGATTGCATTTTGTGTCTTTGCTTGGGCCTGTTTACAGTGTGAAATAAGTGTTTAATTAATTCCTATGTTTGAGTAAGCTTAAAGGATTTCAGAGTCTGTTAGTCAGGAACATTGCAGAGCCTGAGTCTGTTAACATATAATTCTCTATGTAGTAAAGATAGTCCTTGATTTACAACAGTTTGTTTAGTAGTTACTGTTCAAAGTTACGACGGCACTGAAAAATGTGACTGATGACCGTTTTTCACAGTTACGACCTTTGCAACATCCTCATAGTTATGGGATCGAAATTCAGAGGCTGGCAACTGACTCATATTTATGACGGTTGTAGTGTCCAGGGACCACGTGAGCCCCTTTTGCGACCTTCTGACAAGCGAAGTCAATGGGGGAAGCCAGATTCACTGAACAACTGAGTTACTAACGTAGCAACTGCAGTGATTCACTTATCAACTGAGGCAAGAAAAGTCGTAAAATGGGGCAAAACCCGCTGAACAAATGTCTGGTTTAACAGCAGAAACGTCAGCCTCAATTGTGGTCATGTGGAGGGCTACCTTTTATTTCTAACGCAGTTATAAAAATGTATAAATTCTGCCCAAACCACAGAAAGGAAACTGGCATTAAGCAAGCCTTGTCCCTGGCATGAAGGAACCCCAACTGGCCTCGTTAAACTGACTGAGGATTGGGGTTCAGGGTTAAGCACCAAAGTGGGCTTGGGAACATTCTGGATGCAGGTCACAGCTAACTGCCCCTTGGCTGGACTTACCAGGAACTTGCTGGATTCGTCTCCGGCCAAACTGGCAAAGGTGATCTGCAGGTCGAGGGGCAGCAGGAGGCTGAGCAGGTCCTCCCCACGGTGGTTCTCAAAAATGAAGGGCTCTTGGCAGTCCACGTAGAGGGAGATGCGCCGTGGCTCCAGGTTCAGGGCCAGCTGCGCCCAGCGGCCGTGGGCAAAGGGGGTGCTTCCGGGGAAGACCAGCGAGGCCGGCTCCATGTTGTGCACTGCCCGGTACGCCAGCCGGAGTTGGTCCTCCTGGGTGCTGGATGCCAGCTGCAGGAGGGGGTGCCCATCCCGCTTGGAGGCTGCTGGGGAGACCAGGGAGATGAGGGTCCCCTCCGATCCGGGGTTCTGGCGGGTCACGAAATGGAAGCCGAGGGCGGCTTGCACCGTGGACAGTAGGTAGACGGAGTAGTCCCAGGGCAGAGTCAGGATGGGCACCCGCCGGCGGAACTTCCAGGCTGGGGTGCCCGGATCGGGACCCTGGGTCTTGCTGACGCCTGGCACCGAGCGGCTGATGTTGAGCGCCTCCAGCAGGTCAAGGACTGTGAAGGGAGAGCAGGGTGGTTAGTGGCCGTGTCGTGTCTACACAAGTCCCAGTGCTGGAAGCCCAGAAGAACCAGGTGAGAATTTGGGGTGGGTGGGGGTTTAGCCCCTGGGAAGTTTGCAGGCTGCCCCGTGGCATTTGCTTGGCCACAATAGGGGTATTGAGGAGCCATCTCACCACAATCGGATCAGCCTGCCCCACTTGCGGCCAGCACAAGATGCAGGCAACACACAAAACCACGCACTCTCCGGTCCGTGGAAAAACCTCTCTCCACGGAACCGGTCCCTGGTGCCCAAAAGGTTGGGGACCGCTGATCCCTCGGACAGAGAAAGTGCCTAAAGAGGTAGATTTTTTTAGGATATTCTCATGGTAAGGCCTGACTGCTAAAACCTTCCTTTGGGTGAAGAATGCTAATTTTTAAAAAAAACACGTTGAAAAGAAAAGGCAACAAAAGGGACCCCGCGGATCAGCGAGCAAAGAAAAGGCAGAAGCATTTTCGTTCCGTCTCCTCCTCCTCCTCCTCCTCGGACACAAAACTGGAGATTGTGAAGGGCAGGATGACCGGGCAGCGTTAAATGAGATTTATTTAAAGAGCGGGCTTCATTTTGAATGATGAAATCACACCTCAACATTTCATAAAAAACTTGCTGGATGAAAACTCGTGCCGTTTGGGAGAAAACCCTGGTGGACTGGTCAAGTTCCAGCTGTCTGGAGAAGACCAAATATTGTTGCTGTCTGCCACCAGGAGATCCAGGAAGATGAATTACCCAGCAGTCAGTGTAGCATCAACAGCTGGGAGTGATTTTCAGCAAATTGTCAAGAGGCCAGTGTGTTAGCACACACAGCAAAAGTCCTAAGAAGCCAAAGTCAACATGGTTTGGCCATGAAAAATAAATCTGCTTGGATCGGTTTGCTTTACTGCTCAATTGGATGAATGTTCTTCTTAGTAGATTGTGGGAGAGCTTGTAGACATAATATATCTTTGATTTCACTGGCAGGGGCATTTAGGTTACCGGTAGCGTTCAGCTTACAATCCTTCATTTAGTGGCCATTCAAAGTTCCAACAGCATTGAAAAAAAGGGAATTACAACCAGTTTTCACTCTTGCGATCATTTTTCACACTTATGACCATTGCAGCATCCTTGTGATCACGTGATCCAAATTCAGGCCCTTGCCAACCGACTCATATCTATGACCGTCACAGTGTCCCAGAATCACGTGATCCCTTTGGTGACAAGCTAAATCCATGGGGAAGCCAGATTCACCGACTTAACAATGGCGGTGATTCACTTAACAACGGTGGCAAGAAAGGGCGCAAAATGGGGCAAAACTCATTTAACAGGTCTCGCCCAGCGACAGAAATTTCGGGCTGAGTTGCGCTCCTAAGTCAAGGACTGCCTGTAGTTTGATAGGCGCTTCCTTTGCTATGCGGGGCTCAGCTGGATGACCTCAAGGGACCTTGAATGTTGCCAAGGACAAGACCTTGCCTGGCCTAAGCAAGCTGCCCAAAGTGGACCCCTCGGCAAGCAACAGATCGGGTCGCGGACTCTCCTGATCCCCGTCCCGAAGGTGCTTTTTCCAGTCCAACTGGACTTCCTTGGTTTTTTTTTTCTTTGAAGACGTTTCGCTCCTCATCCAAGGAGCTTCTTCGGCTCTAACTGGACGGTGGAAGCTGAAGAAGCTTCTTGGGATGAGGAGCGAAACCTCTTCAAAGGGAAAAAAAGAAAGTCCAGTTGCCTCCAGAAAAAAAGCACCTTAAACTGCTCTGGGACTTCAGAATTCAAACAGACAAGCACCTGCAACATAACACCCCGGACTTAACCATTGTCGATAAGAAAGACAAAAAAAAAGTCTGGATAGTGGACATGGCAGTGCCTGGAGACAGCAAAATAGACGAGGAAGAACTGGAGAAGATAACAAAATACAAAGACCTACAAATAGAAATAGGAAGACTGTGGCAAAAGCAAGCAATGGTAGTAGTACCAATAGTAATAGGCGCCTTAGGTGCAATTCCAAAACAACTGGAGCACCACTTGAACACCATCATTGGCATTGACAAATTCACCATTAGTCAATTGCAAAAGGCGGCCTTACTGGGAACCGCCTCCATCCTGCGACGAGATCTGTAATACCATCAAACATCCATATCTGCCTATCCCAGGTCCTTGGGAAGGACTCGATCGGTAGACAAAATGCCAAATCCAGTCTGAACATCTGGCTGACTGTGCGATGATCCATAATAATAATAATAAGGTTGGAAGGCACCTAGGAGGTCATCTAGTCCAACCCCCTGCTCAGGCAGGAAACCCTATAGCATTTCGGACAAATGGCTGTCCCACCCTCCCTTTGGGAACGGACCACCAGAGCCTCCAAAGCCAGGGGCAGTGTACCTGAAAGCCATGGCTGTTCCCTTCTCCGCTCCCCCCTCCCCCCGAAGCCCCCTTGCCAGCGGCTCAAGCTGCACGCCAAGCAACCCAACCCGAAGCCGAGGCAGCGGGTGGGCTGCACGCATCGTGGAAACCCACCCGGGGGTTTGCTGCCCCCCCCCAGCCAGTCCCCGCGCGCGGCTGGTACCCGGCTGGTGCCCGCCAGCCCCCCCGAAGCCCCGGCGCTCACCGTCGTCCTCGAAGTCCCGGCGCGCCGACCCGGTGCCCTCGGGGGTCCCGGCGCCCGTCCAGGAGGGTCCCTGCAGGGCCAGCGCCGCCCAGGGCAGCGCCCACAGCTGCCAGCAGCCCCGCATGACGCCCACCCGGGGATGCCCGCTCCGCTCTGCCCTCCGCGGGACCGGACGGGTGGGCGGGGGGCGGTCTCGGAGGGAGAGCCCGCCGCCCCCCCCCGGATACGAGGTCGGGCGGGCGGAGCGAAGTCCCGGGGCGGATCGCGGGGGACGGGCGCGGACGGAGCGGGGGGGGGGGCTCGAACGGGGACTGGCTCATGCCCACCTGCCCCACGCCGGGATCCCCCTCCCCATAAGCAGGCACGGGGGGGCTCTTTCCCTGAGCGAAGGGGGGCGCGGGTCTTTGCAACCTCGCCCCCCCTCCCGCCCAATTTGCTTGACGGAGCGCCCCGACACCCCTTTGTGGGGGGTCTTCCTACGCTCTCTCGGACCCCACTTGCGTGGTTCGGCCAAAGGGGATGTCGGGGCGCGGCTGAGCCCCGGAGGGGGAAAGTGGGGGATGTCCGTTCCCCGAAGTCCCCTTCGGGTGCAGGCCCCGCCCCTCCGTCGGCTGCTGCTGCCGCCACCTGTCCGGCAGGTGAAGCCTTCACCTGTCCTCACCTGGCGAGGGAGGCGCGGAGGGTTAGAAGAGGCAGGCGAAAGAAAGGCTTTGGCGCCACCTGCTGGCCGAACCGCGGCAAGGCCCTTGGCGAGGGGGCAGCTGCGCTTTCGCAAGGGTCAATTAAAAGCAGATGTTTTGCAGAACACCAGAAAATGTTTTTTAAAAATAAAATAAAAAAATCTGGGCAAAAACAGGATAGTCTTGGCCCCTCCCTGACGGAGAGGAGCCTCGTTGTAGGTTGCACAAAAATGCACACTTGACGGAGTCGTGCATGTGCAAAACCTAAGTGCAGGTATTGCTCAACTTGCGACCTCGTGTGAAGCCAGAATTCCCACAAAGTTCTTCTCCTGGTCTGTGTTGGAGGCAGGGCTGAAGGTTCTCCAGATCTTTGGATTCCGCTTCCAGAATTTCAGAGGCATCTTTAGCTGGAAGGAGCCTGGTGAAGCATGAAGGGGGCCAGCTGGTCTGTCTCAACCTAATCTAATTTCCTTGCAATTTTTTTTTTTTTTTGGCCAAAGGAAGTGGAAATTCCTTTGGGATTTTAAGTGAAGACCCCCCTTTCAGAGACCAGCTCTTGGGGGGGGGAGGTTTATGGTTTCATTGGGGCCAAAAGGTCCAGCTAGTCCGAGACTAATGTGGTGTCCATGTGAGGTCTCTACCGAGGCAACTGAGACAGAAGCCACGGAGATGTCCCACAACGCACACAAAACTCCACAATGGGTTAAGGAAGCACAACTACCATCTCTGCAATGCAGGCATGGCCCACCAATGGAGCTGAGTAGCATCCAGCAGGCATGGAATTCCAGGATCAGAATAAGAATAGAGCTAGAAGGGACCTTGGAGGTCTTCTAGTCCAACCCCCTGCTCGGGTAGGAGACCCTGTACCATTTCAGACAAATGGCTGTCCAGTCTCTTCTAAAAATCCTCCAGGGATGGAGCACTCACAACTTCTGGAGGCGAGGCCGTTCGAAGGATTAATTGTCCTCACTGTCAGGAAGTTTCTACTTAATTCCAGGTTGCTTCTCTCCTTAATTAGTTTCCATCCATTATTTCTTATCTTGCCTTCGGGTGCTTTGGAAAATAAGTTGACCCCCCCCCCTCTTCTTTGTGGCATCCCCTCAAATACTGGAAGACTGCTATCCAGTGGTGGGATTCAAATAGGTGAGCAACCGGTTCTCTGTGTGGATGCCGCTTCCGGAAGTCTGTTCTGGGCCTCGGCAACAAAAAATTAGCTACTGGTTCTGCCGAACTGGTGTGAACTGGCTGACTCCCACCACTGCTGCTATCCTGTCACTCCAAGTCCTTCTTTTTCCTAGACTAGCCATCCCTCATTCCTGCACCCATCCTCCATATGTTTTTTGTCTCCAGGTCTTTGATCGTCTGAGTTGCTCTTCTCTGCACTTTTTCCAAAGTCTCAACATCTTTTTTTTGGAATATGGTGACCAAAACTGGATGCAGGATTCCAGGTGCTTACTAAGGCTTTGTAAAGCGGTACTAACTCATCTAATCCTCTTTATCAAAAGTCACCAGGAAATTTCTCCGGGTCCTGGAGGCCTTATTAAATCAGCTTAACCAACTCTGAATCCACCCCTGACTTGTTTTTGTTCAGGAACATGGGAACATGTTGATATTATTATTATTATCTTTTATTCGTTGGACATGAACCTCAGTCAACTGAACATTCAAATTGGCTGGCGCTGATGGTTGACACGGGTTGCTACCAGCATCCTAGGTGTCAACCAGGTACCTCCTTAAAATATAAGATATAAATAATAATAATAATAATAATAATAATAATAATAATAATAATAATAATAATAATAATAATAATAATAATAATAATAATAATAGTTATTGTTGTTATTGTTATTATTATTATTGATCATCGCACAGTCAGCCAGATGTTCAGACCGGATTTGGCATTTTTGTCTATCTATCGAGTCCTTCCCAAGGACCTGGGAGAGGCAGATGTGGATGTTTGATGGTATTACAGATCTCGTCACAGGATGGAAGCGGTTCCTAGTAAGGCTGCCTTTTGCAATTGACTAATGGCGAATTTGTCAATGCCGATGATGGTGTCCAAGTGGTGCTCCAGTTGTTTTGGGATTGCACCTAAGGCACTTGTTGTTGTTATTACTACTACTATTACTATTATTATTGTTGTTATTACTATTATCATTATCATTATCATTATTATTGTGTGCTGGTATTTTTCTTGGAACTACATAGCAAATATGGAGGAGGCTGTTGGCAAAAAGGACAAGAAAAAAGAAAAATGTTTACAAACAGGCTGCAAGTCTGAAGTTGCAATGAAACGCACAACACAGTCCACGACTTATGAGCACAACCAAGCCCAAAATTCAACATGGCAAAAAGGTCGTAAAAACAGGATGCACCTCACTTAATCACCGCCTTGCTTAGCAACAGACTGCGGTTGTTAAGTTGAGGACTTGGGTTTTCCAAAAGGGGGGATTTTCCCCGCTCGGATGATCCTTCGGCCTCTCCTGGTTTTAGATCCTTTGCTTGAGTGCCTCTTTCTAATGGGAAAGAGATTTCCTGGTGCCACCAATAAATTCTCAAATCTCTCCACTTCACAGTTCAGGACGCTTCCTGTTGACTGGGATTATAAATACCCCCCAGCAGCTGCTTTTGCAGCATTTTANGGGTCATGTGATCACCATTTGCAACCTTCCTGGCCATATTTGGAGAAGCAAACTCCTTGATGGAAGCCGGATTCGCTTAACGCCCCTGTGCTTCACTTAACAGCTGCAGTGATTGGTCTAACACCATGGCAAAAAAGATTGCAAACTCGGGCGCGGCTCATTTAACCGTTGCTTTGCTTAGCAATGGAAATCCTGGCCCCAGTTGTTGCCATAAATTGAGGACCACCTGTAGGCTCCGGGAAATGTTGTGGACACAAGATTCAGACAAGAAAGAATGGTTGGAAACTCACTAAGGAGAGAAGCAACCTGGAATTAAGGAGAAGCTTCCTAACAATGAGGACAATTAACCAGTGGAACAGCTTGCCACCAGAAGTTGTGGGAGCTCCATCACTGGAGGTTTTTAAGAAGAGGCTGGACAGTCACTTGTCTGAGATGATAAAGGGTCTCCTGCTTGAGCAGGGGGCTGGACTAGAAGACCTCCAAGGTCCCGTCCAGCTCTATTCTGATTCTGGTTCATGGTTCCCTCCAGTTTATGTGAGGGCTGATGTAGGCCTAGATAATGACATGCTTCAGTTTCTCCACTTTTAATGTCTTTTTGTTGTTTCTCCAACCAGATGCGGACCATCCTTCTCGTGTGCATCGGCCTTTTGCTTCCCATCTATCTGTTGCACAGATGTGAGTTCCTGCTAGGAGCTTTGGTGCTGCCCAGGTTGAGCGGTGTGTGTGTGTGTGTGTGTGTGTGCGTGTGGAATAGAAGACCTCCAAGGTCCCTTCCAATTCTGTCATTTTGTCATTAATTCATTCATTGTTCACATTTCTGAACCGCCCCCCTCCCTCAGAGAGGGATTTTAGGAGGTGTACAAGTCGAAGATTCCCCGTGTTTACATGCTAGCTGTTGAAACGTGGCCTCTAACCCAGGTTCCCTTCTGCCACAGGTGATGCTGAAACAGAAACCTGTCCGCTGGGATGGATGACCTCCAGGGGAGCGTGCTATTCAATCTTCTGCAAGAAGCGGACGTGGGCAGAGGCAGAGGTAAGGTGGGCCCCTCCAGGTTCACACTCCTGAGTATGAACTGCCAACCACATGTGGCAATGAGCCCACCTGGAATCTCCCCCATTTAAATCGATATCAGAATATCAGAGAGGTCCTTGGTGCTCTTTGGGCGTGATGGTTTCCCTGCAGACATTTCATGACCCAACTAGGGGACATCATCAGTGCTAGAAGAGAGAGGTTGGTGGAGTGGAAGAGAAGGAGGAGGAGGAGGAGGGTTGTAGGCATGCTCTCTGAGCTTGGTTGTTTTCTTGTAGATATTTCATGACCCAACTAGGGGGTATCATCAGTGCTAGGAGGGAGGGGGGCTGCAGAGAGGAGGAGGAGGACTGTGAGGTCCTTGTTGGTCTTTGAGCTTGGTGGTTTCCCTTCAGACGTTTCATGACCCAACTAGGGATCATCATCAGTGCTAGAAGGGAATAAGGTTTAAGGAGAGGAGGAATAGGAGGGGGAAGGGAGAGAGGAAGAAACAGAAAGAATGAAGGGGAAAGAAGAGGAGGAGGAAGAGAAGGAGAAGTATTGTGGGGTCTTTGGTGCTCTTGGTCGCTTCCTTGCAGATGTTTCATGACCCAACTAGGTAACATCATCAGTGCTAGAAGGGAGAGGTGTTTTTGGAGGAGGAAGAGAAGGAGGACTATGGGGTCCTTGGTGCTTTCTGAGCTTGGCGGTTTTCTTGCAGACGTTTCGTGACCCAACTAGGTAACATCATCAGTGCCAGAAGAGAGAGATTGGTGGAGAGGAGGAGGAG